ATAAGAATAATCGTATGTAAAAGCTAACTTACACATCTCCTATCCTAAGAGTAACAATAGATTGTTTCCATTGTTCTAGAGTAATCATTTATATCTTGTTTCATTAATTTGAGTCTTTGTTATGCTTAAATATGAATTTATATTTCAAAATATTTTTTCTTAAGAACTAATTGATGAATAATCTTGAAAAATTTTTCAATAAAAATCAAGACATAGATCTTCGTAATGAAAAATCTTCAAAATATTTTTTTAATATCTCCATCTAATAATAAATTCTAAGATAATATAGATTTTTTTAGAGATAAATTAAACTGTAAACGTATATTCATCAAATTCTTTATTTATCTTCATTTAATTTTATTGTCTAAGAAAAAAAAATTTTATATAAAAAACAATAAATATTTAATAAAACTACAAACAATTCTATATAATTTTATGCTATAATTCGGTTCTTTATTTTTTCAGTTTTTTCCTAGAACAAAATAAGTTAAACTGCTACATATCCTTCAATTATTTAACTTAATTGAGTAACAATTAGAAATGGTTTTTTCCGTCAAAAATTTAAATAAGTTTTCATCAAGTTTTGCTTGACTAACATTACTTTCGAATTCATAAATTCTTTTATGAGAAATTTCACAAATAAAATTGTTAATAGTACATAAATCGCAGCATCCTGATAAAAAATGTCGAATAGGTTCTTGTTAGAACAATTCTTTCGCAAGCATCCTCACAGACGCTACAATCCGTCTAAATATCAATTTAATTATCGCTTATCACAGGTCGATTATTCAAATCAACAATCATGATATATACTCGATCATGTTTAATAAAATCTTCGATTTCATTTCGAGATATTAAACTCCGGTTTTATATAGAATTATTTGTTTTTTTTGTTCCTTTAACTGATAATTAATCTTTTATTTAACTATCAAACAATCAGACTAAATAGTATTATTCAAGAAAGAGCATATCAGCGGAGAAACTTCATGTGTTTATATTTCTTTATAATTTGAATAAGAAGTTCGAACAGTAGATTTTGTTTACTCTTCAATTATTTCATTATTTATTCATCTTTACTTCAAATGAGACTCGAAAAACAAAATTATTCATTAATTAAATGACAATAGCAAATCCTTTCAAAATAAAAATAATCATTTTCAAAAATCTACTATTTCTGTAAATCACCAAGTCTTACTTCATCTAGATCCATTAGAAATATTAATCTAAAATGAAATTATTATTTTAGGAATTATTATTAAGATCATATAAAAAAACGAAAAGAAAATCAATTATATTCTATGAACACTAGAAAAAAGATAGTCAGAACAGAGATAACACCTATATACATATTTACTAATGTGTTGTCTTTTCAGTCTAACTATTGACAAAGTACATTCTCACTCGAACGAAAAAATAAAAGAAACCTTCATTGTTTATCCTTTACTGGTGCGAGTATGGACATAGGTAGACTCATCGACGCTTGAGCTCCTGATATTTTAGCTCCTGACCTCAGCGCCTACCAACATAAAAGCTGTGATTAGTTGAGCTTACCGACAATAGAGCTTCCGACATCGAAGGTTCCATAGAGTATCAATATTAAAAATAATGATTTTGATAAATTTTATTTAAAAAAATCAAAAAAAAAACTAAATAAATATCTTGCGTGTGAATGTGATTCTTTCCGTCGCGCGTACCTACACCTGTCGTAACGTACGTCCATATCCGCACAACTTGCACATGAAAAACATTGAAAAATCCGTGAATAAGAAAAGATTATTGTCATGTTTATTTGAATTATTCTGTTTTTTCTTTAATTGACTTTTATTCATATATTTAGCATATTTTTGATTGATTGAGAGCATATTGTATCGCTTCGAGAAGACGGATACTACGCTGATCAATAACGAATCCACTTGTATCAAGTTGATTGCATACATGCGCATATGCCAATTGATCTGGTGGATAAGCCAAAGCGCAACTACCACCAAAACCTGTTAACAATTACGAATAAATGCATTAGATATATTCAAGACTACATATGCTTAGAAAAGGATTACTGAAAGTTTTTCATTCTCACAAAATGTGATTTTGTTGTGAAAAGCATGTTATCAACATAGGTAAAATATACTCATTCTTGAATAGAATATTTAGGATTGAAGTATTTTACCATTATGGCCGAAGACAGTGTCACCGAAGACGTTGAAAATCTCCCCATAGACTTGAAAGCCACTTTTTCCAAATGCTGTTTTAATAGTTGGCATTGTTCGATCTGGCTCTCCAACTGGTGTAATATTTTCAATGGCTTGTGCTAGTGTTTTCTCACTCACAAGACGTTCAATGTTCTTTCCATTTTCATTGATGTCACCCATCAGTCTAGCATAAATACGTGCCATAGAACGAGCATTGGTTATTGCATTGACAGCAGGCAATTCAGCTCGGTGAATTTGAACTTCATTATAAATGATTCCACTACTATTTTGATATGGTCCGAGAGGAAAAGCACCACTACATGATAGCGTTTTTTCAGCGAGCGGATCCAATGAATTTATGACATCACTATTCATATTATTAGCCTTAAATAAAAACAAGATTCAGTTATCTATGGAATTTATGATCTTAATGTTAATCAATAAAAAATTTCCCTAGATGAACTTTTTTTTATCATTCTTGACCTGCACAGACCTCAAGATGTGTCCATAGCGTATGACTTTCTTGCTCGAGATGTTCACGTTTTTCATGCGCTTGCCACAAGAAGGTTGACTAGAGCTTCTTTTTCACAGCTCCAATCCAAAGGATTGTATTATCAGGTATTTAAAAGATCATAAGATATTTTGAGAGACTTCTCTCATCACATTCGTACCGTTCACGAATATTTCTGTAGAGAATTTGAGTCGGATGACATCGTTCACTAACCTGTTTTCGAATGAGAGGAGCAACACGTGCTTCGACTTTATCATCAGATACACCTATATAGCATTGATCATCCAATTCCTCACGAACGAATTGGCCATAAGAACGATGCTGAGGATCAACGTACCGTATCAATTCTCCGACAAGAAATCCAATCGTATGACCATGATATCCATGTGTCGATCCAGGATTCCAATGAGGCTTTTCAGCAATTAATAACGATATCATTCTAGACCAATTGCACACATCTTCAACTGTCAATTGTTGATTGATGTATGGAAGACCAGCTCGATGAGATAGTAGATCGCTCAACAAAATATTCTTCAAGAAACGAGTTTATTTCAATAAACAATGACTATGTCTTACTTCCTTTCCATTTTGACCAAACTGTGGCCAATATTTCGTCACAGGTGCATCGTAGTCGAGTCAACCCCTCTCCACACAAAGGGCTACTGCAGCACCCATTATTCCTTTTGCCGTTGAAAAAACAAGCTGAAGTGTATCTTCTGTATAGGGGTCTTTCTTCGTCTTTGCATCTTTCCATCCTCCAGACAAGTCTACAACACATTTTCCTCGATGATAGACGCATAAACTTGCCCCGATATCCAGTCCCTCATTGAAATTCTGTTCGAAGGCCGATCGTACACACTCCCAACCAAGCGATACATAACCACACACGTTGTTGTTCTCACTTAACATTGAAGGTATTGCCACTCTATTATACTCTCCAACTTTTTCTTTCTATTCTGTTGATGTGATAGCACACTAACTGATATCGAATTTCTTCGTTGCATTTGACACAATGAGTGGTATGGTATATTACTTTTTATCGATGTGAAGCTAGCACGAACACCAATCAGAATCGATCTCCCAATCAGTACTCAAGCATATTTTACCACATATAGTCCATAAAATACCACCAAAACCTTCCTAAGCAACCAAACAAATTTTCCTACAGCACCTTAAAAATTAATAATCCTATCAAAAATAAATCACGAAAAATTTCAAAAAAAAAATGATCATCCACCCACTACAACACCTATCGCGAATCTGCACAAACATACATTTTTTATGTGGTTCTTATATTTTTATTGGTTGAATATTCACTTAAACACAGTAGCTATGTTTTGCCAATAGCGATTTAACTAATTTATTATAATTACTTTATTATGATCAAAAATGGACATTGATCCTGACAACGGTGGTGATTCTAGAGTCCTTTGATCTCACACTCAGGCGGAGAGAGGATTTGTTTGATCACTTCTTCTGAAGCGACTTTCTGTTATTTTATCACCATACTTTGATGCTTGCTAGAGCACACTATAAGCTATATAATGGTATGATATTAGTAGCAGATTGTTGGACTGGATTTATAAAAGGGTAAAAAGAAAATATGTGAGAAAAAAGTGGGCACTACTGTAGTTTAGTCACACTCTCGCCCTCACCCTCACGTTGATTGCTGCGTGTAATGTACCAATCAGCGTAAGGGCGTGGCTAAACTGCAGAAGGACCAGAGTCATTATTTCTATTTGTTAATAGTTGTCGATTTTTTAACATAGCGTTAATTTTAGGGGATCGCGACCTCTATATGACTATAGCCATTATATATAATAAATATCTTCTATTGCATATAAAAAATAAAGCGGATGAAAAAATACCAAAACTGCAAAAAAGCAAAATTTCATTATGAATTTGAGACCAAAGGACTATAAAAAGTTTTATGTTAATTTTGAATTTCTATTATAAATAATTGATAAATTTTTAAAAAAAATCTTCATAAAGTAAGTTTAGATTGTTTACTGATTAAATATAAATTGTAAGAGATTTTCAATAAATAAAACGAAAAATAAAATAAATCTTTTTATTTCTTAGTTGTTTTTGTTTTTTTGTTTGTCTAAATTGATATATAGATAATAATATGCTAAATAAAATATTTTATTCGAGTAAATAAATAAAAAAGTAAATATGATTGAAATTTATTTTGATTAAGTAAATTAAATGAAGATGACAATAATTTTAAAGAATTCTTGTTGTTTTGTAAATTGAGTCAGTATGTATGTGAACAAAAGAAAAAATGTTTAATTATATAATTAATGATGTTGAAGAATAGTGGATAATTCTTTAATTCTTGTATCTTTTAATTGAAGAACATGTTCAAGTCGACGAATTTTAGCTTTAAGAATTTCAATTTGTTCTTGTTGTTGAAGATATTCTTGTTTTACTTCTTCATAATTAAGATTTGAGATATTTTTTCTTTTATTTCTATCAATTGATGATTTAATTGGTTGTTGAATAGCTTTTTGTTTTAATTCTAATTGTTCATCTATTTTTAATCTTAAATTAAACAGAAGAACTTCAATAAGACCTGGTTTACAATTTGAAAGACCACTTATAATAACATCTGGTATATCCAGACCAATATTTGATAAAATTTTTTTATTTAACATTTTCCAATTTGATTTTTTATGTTCTAATGAATTAGCTGAATTATAATTTTGTAAATCGACTAATTCTGGTAAATAATAATAAATTATTTCAGCAACTAATAAACCTTTAATTAAATATAATAGAAATAATAGAAATAATTTATTTATTTAAATTACCATCGGAAAAATCTCGTTCAATTCTTTGTTTTGCTCGTGATAATGAAAGACTATCAATCCATTGATATAGTTCTTCTAATAAACTTTCATCTAATTCCATTTCCCATGACATGATTTTATTTTAGATATAGAAGATATTTTATTTAAACACGAATAATTTTTTTCTTCTTTATGATCAAACTCAAGCAAACAAACAAAATCAAATTTTAACCTTTTTTTTGTCACTAAACGACAAATTGTTTGTTATGAAAAGTAAAAAAAAGGAAGAGAATTGTTCCATAGTTGAGAAGAATAAAAAAAAAAAGGGGAAAAAGGACTTTTGATCACCAAGCAATTAAAAAAGCAAATCATGACGTAGAAAGGATAGTTTTGATCACCACACATTCGAAGATACAAATGATCACCAAAAAAAGATACTTTTGGTCACCAGATTTTCCAGTATCCACTCAACATATTTATTTCTCCAAAAAAGTACAACATTCAAACAAAAAAAAGAAATGAAACAAGAAATAGACATGGAATATTTGAGCACCTTTATTACATCTCTATTTACCATAAGCTGTGCTAACTTTTTGGGACGTCTTTTTTTCTTCGTTTATCTAATTGTCCAACACGTGTCTTATCATTGACTTGATATAAATTGAATAGAATTCCTAAACCTACTGAGTGTTAACAAGAATAGCATTTTTAAGGTTATTTATTCAATATTGACACACACCATTTAATTAAGCAACAACTTTAACTTCATCAAGGGAATGAACTATACTTAATAGAGACCAGTTTAAGGTTGCCATTTTTCAAAATAAACTCTATTAAATTTTGTACAAACATAGGTTCCAGTCACTAATCCGGCAATAGAAATCACTGATTTAAATAACCAAGAAGACAAAAGCTGATGAAATCAAAGTAATACTCAATAAATATGGCAAAGATGATGCAACACCACATGTTGTAAAATTTGGTGATCACAAAAGTATCTTTTTTTGGTGATCATTTGTATCTTCGAATGTGTGGTGATCAAAACTATCCTTTTCCCGTCATGATTTGTTTTTTTAATTGCTTGGTGATCAAAAGTATTTTTTTCTGGTGATCAAAAAAATTCTAACCCAAAAAAAAGCCCACATGAATAAGAACATATTAGATTAAATTGAAAAACAATATATTAATTTCTTGAAAAGAGAAATGTTTTTTTAATTATTTAATTAAATATATGTTTAGTGATTATTCTCTTTAAACAAAATACAATTAAATAAATGAAAATTTTCTATTTATTAGAAAATATAAATAATATTCATTTTCGAGAATATTTTTGTTAAATTAATTCAATTAAATATTTATTTACACTAGATTTAGTAAATTGACTTAATAAAACAATATTTTTTTTTATTTTTTCAATTTAGAAAAATCTATTCCTCAAAAAACCAAGAGAAGAAATTTTTCTAAATAAATTCTAAAAAATAATTAAATAAATAAATATAATTGTATATGTGAAAAGGATTTAGATTTTTCTTTAATTTATTTAAAATATATTTTATTTAACAAATAACGATTTAATCGATGTTAAACGAGAGTTCAAACGATTTATTTAAAATATAAGATTTGTTTTTAAATAAATATATATTAAATATAAATTATTTATTTATTTACTTAAACAAGTATTTATTCATCGATTTGAAATATTTAATTTTTCTTCGGTTGTAAAAATAAAATTTCAACAAAGTATTGAAATAATTAAAATAAATAGTTGACATTTGAAAAAATTTTTCATTAATTATTGTTCGAGATCTTTTTCATTATTCTATATTCAATCTAAATTAATTTCAATAAACTATTTAATAAATAATAGGTCTTACATAATTCAATGTCATTTTTTAATCAGATAATCAGTTTTATTCACAAAACAATATTTATAATCATATACACAAATAAATATATCGGCTATTTATAACCAAAACATTACTTTATATATTCAACATTTGCTTTTATTTTCAGTAGATGGTCCGTCTTATCTTATTTAATTGATTACAGAATGATGCTTTCTAACATAATCCATAGGATATTATTCTAAATGATATCTATAATAGATAACTGTCGAGAAAACTATAATAAGAATTATTTGTCGATAACCTGTTTTTATCTGTAAAATGTTCGAAATAGTCTGTGTACGATGCCAATGTATCTGATGAGTATTATCTATTGCATTAACGTATCCGAATCGTATAAAATAGAAGAAAAAAAATCTTTCGCTGGAAAGGAGTTCGTTTGTTTGATTCGATTTGATCGAATTATAAAAAAGAAAAGAAGCGTCTGATGAATATTAATTCAATGAAAGAAAAATGTCAGTATAAAGATTTCTTAAAAGGTTTAATTGAGTATGGTTAGTTAATATTCGATTATTTTTTAAATAGAATTAACATAAATCGAATTTGTTTATTATTTAATAAAATAGTCAATTGAATAGAATATTTTGCAACAGTCATCATTTTATCTTGGATTTTAATCGAGTTGATTCTCTGTAGGTTTAATAAATAGTTCTCATTTTAGTCATTTTTAACGCTCTTTTTAAAAAAAAAGTAGCAAAAATAAAAAATCGAAGATCATTCGTCTAAACTATAACATATAGTAACCATTCTGAAAAAATCAATGCGGAGCATAGTGATCATCTACAGTTTCTTATCTAGCCTATAATGTTCATATTAAACTTTAATCAATATAAATGTGTTTTCATCATCATCCATGGGAATTCGTTGGAATTTATTGTAGTCCGGTATAAATGAGGAGCTGCCTTTTTTTTTGCTTAAAATCTTTCAATGTTATATATTGACTGTTAACAAAGAATAAAAGAAACTCTACGCTATGTATATATCATCGATAAATAGTTAACTTGTTATGAGCTCGGTTTGTTCTAGACAGACTTGGAATAATCATTAAATGATTTTTTTTCATTATCTTATTGATATTGTATATGTTAATATATAAATATTATTAAATAAATAATATTGAAAAATGATTATTATTTATCATTATTTAAATTTCTACCTAGATATATCTTTAACTTTTTACATGAAAAAACAAATAGAAGAAAAAGTAAACTAAAGAAAATATTCAACGAATGAAAGAGAACAACGATGATAGTATAACAAGTCTTATTCGCTATCGTAATTCTAATGTAACTTAAGTCAATTTATCATCAGATAGGAGTTTGATTTTTTATGATAAAATAAATTTCTCTGACAATATGCCATTGTTTAATACGATATTTAGTTCTAATTGACTTATTTTATTCATAGATTAAATCGTTGACTATTATCCATTTAAGATATTTAAGAGAATATTTATCGATTTGATAAATTATTTTTTGTAATCGGGACAATTTGCATTATTTCGACTCTAATATTACCAATGAATACTCTGAAAAGAATTTTGACCGTTAGTTTATTTGTCTGATAGATCGAATATTTTCACCGGTTTTTTAAAGATAAATGGCATCAATCTACTTGAAAGGATATGAACAAATACTCATTTTAGAATTTTAATTTGAAATTTTCCAACAATAGACACATTTATAAGAAATTGTTTATTGTCAAATTTTAACATGTTTTTTCTTTTTGATTTTCTTGTGAAATAAAACTATAAAATATATTCTTATTCTTATGTATATGACCGATGTAAAAGAGACACTCTTATCATATGTCTATGTTAGAGTAGGAACAACAAATATGTGTTAAATATAGTCATTAATCTATTGTTATTTATCTGTTGATTTGTCAAATGTTTCAAGTCGAAATAGTTATGTCAATATTGTTCGTTTTGTTTAAGTCGATGACGGTGGAGATTTATTTAAAAATGAAATAAATATCTCGTTTTTATCTATGAAACAAATCTAATCAGTCAAAATCCTGTTTGTATAGAAATAATTGATCAGTATCGAGATAATCTCAATAGTTGAGATGGAAAAATGACTAATCAGTTGTTAGAGTTAATTGATCGCTATTTTAACATATGTCTCGTTGGTCTATGCGATTTATCTCAACTGGAAATTTGAAGACATTTAAATCAAATCGATTTTTCTTTAGAATATTTTATTAATTTAATTGAATAAATTAAATAAAAACACAATCTCTAATGAAAAAGTAATCTTGTTCGGATCGTCGAAAATTGTTCAAAGAGAAGTGAGTATGTTTTTTTTAAAAGAATATTTCAATAGAGAAATACATGATTTTATGTTTAGATTATCGAGGTTTTTGTTTCCTCTGTCTGCTATTTATGATAGATATTATTTTGTTAATAAAAATGATTATTTTATTCGAATCTTATATAAAATAATCAATAATTAACAAAGGATTAATCGTTACTTTTTTAATTTATCAATTATTTATTCAATAATATTATTGATTTATGGAAGATTTTTATTTTTTTTTCTCATTTATTAAAAAGTTAATTTAATTTGATAATTATAAAAAAATAACTAAAAGGAATTTATTTATTTAAATAAACAAAAAAAAGACATATGAGAAATAGCTTGATTTATAAAATAAATATGCTTGGATTTATAAAATAAATACAAAATAAAAATATTATATCTGAGATTTGACTGAAGCACGTTTAATAATTTCATAAAGAGACATCATTATAACAGAATTGGGTATTACTATTGATGCTCGAGCTATTGAACCAGAAAAAAGTCCTTTAAAACCTCTTTGTTGAATAAGAAGAATAAATGTTTTTAAAATCGATTCTCTTTTAAGAGCAACTTGTAAACGTGTTTTTAAAACATCAATTGGTTGTGTTAATAATGATGTTAAAAGAGCAGCCAATGTTGATGATAATGGACTTATTATTTTATCATATTTAACTGGAATTATTTTTTCTAAATTTTTTTGAATTTTCCAATAAAGTGTCCAAACAATTGAATTAAATGGAAGAGACATTCCTAATGTTATGAAATAACCTTTATAAAAGCCTCGAATTCCATCACCAGATATAATATAAATTTGACGGATAACATCTTTTACTCGAACACCACTATATGAACGAGTTATCATTAAACGTTGAGTTGTTACATCTATTGGAACTTTAATAAAACAATAATATTTTATTTATATATATTCAATTAAATCTTATATTCGAATATAAACATATATATATATTTAAAAAACTATTTAATAGACTTATCGAGAATTTCTCAAATATTTTTTTTAATTAATGAAAAGAACGTTTTGTTTTTTCATAAATTATATTCAAATTAAAAGATCGAATGTTTTTTAAAAATTCTCTTTTTTTATAATTAGTCATTTTCATTAAATAAATAGTTTTTTTTTCTTATTAATCAAATAAATGTTAGATTTTTCTATTTCGATTAATATTTAATGAAAATTTTATTTTAGAATAAAAAAAAAACTTATTATTAATCTTATTTTGTTAAAAATCATTGATAAAACAAGATTTTATGTTTATTATTCAGTAACAAAACAATTTATCTAAAATGGTCGATAAATATAATAAAATGACTCATTTGACAAAGTCATTGTTTATACTGAATGTATTCGAAATATATTCGATGATTTGTAATAATATCAATATAAATACCATATGTTGAAATCAACATCTTTCTTATATAATTAGAAGAATTTCAAAACAAAAAAGAATCTTCTATTTCTCGATAGAATATCTCATTAAGATCTTATTCATATCTCTATATATACTTTAAGATAAATTCGTTTATCAATAAGAATTTCTCAATTGTTATATTTCAATAGCGATAATTATTCTCAACTCTTAACAATTCTATATAGTAATTACCTCATCGTCAAATAGTTCCCCAAGCGACTTGTTTCTAAATAATTTCTCAGTCATTTGATCTAGTCTATTCTCATCGTTTTTTATCAATATGATTTAATTAAACGATTGAAAAATCTCATCTTGAAATGTTTTCAAGTAAAAACTTTCTATTAATAATTAATAATTCTAGCTGAAAATGTTGAATTTGAAAGATCATCATCGTAGAAAATGACTTTGGATTATTTTCAATTAATTGATTATGGTGATGAAAACTTCTTCATAGATAAAAACGTTAAATTCCGTTTGAACTTAACTCTTTGAGTCCGGATGTCCTATATATAGGACGCAGTTTAAATATTTATAAGTAGAGGGTACTATTATACAATAAATTTTTTTTTTATTTAAATTACAACGTATTTTATCTATTTTAGTCGTTTTTTTTAATTTTGTGTTAAAAAAACATTTTTTATTGTAAATTTTTGTATTTATAAATATTATATAATTATACAATTAAAATTATAAAAAAATAAAACCCGGACTGAAAGGGTTAACAATCTTTCATTGTGGAATCTACATAGTTACCATTTCAAATAACAATATATGTAGGAAATTTTTTGATTTTTATAAATAAATAATATGTTTTATAGAAAAAGTTATGCAAAAAAGCAACAGATTTATGTCAGTAAACACCTGTATGTATCAATAACTAGATGAACTATTTTAAAAAATTTGTTGGTATTATCATATATGGACACATAATTGACTCGAATTAAACTTTGAATTATTCTAAACTGTAATAGTTGAATGAATATGATAAGATATTTATTGATGATATTCTATGAATAAACTATTGTTAAAATAATAATTAAATTAATTAATATATGAAATGGATTGGTCTCTTTTCAATTAACTGAATAAGTTCAAACGTAGAATCTTAAGTTGAAAGATAAAGATGATCTAAGTTGACCAATAATCTCAAATATAAATATATTTAATATTGTAAATGACATGCGACAATAGTTGTCTCTTAAATAAATCGAAACTAATCTTGATTATCTTCTTAATAAAAAAATTCATTTCTTAACATCTTTTTAATAAAATATAAAAAAAACCTTTTGATAAAATCTCTCAAATCGGATTGAGATTATTTTTCAAAGAAAAAATCTGCTCGAATGTATTTGTTTTTATAAATAATTTAAGATTTGAAAATATATTCAAAAAAAAAATATTCACTCGATAAAATATTCTTTTATATTGATTTGTTTGAAAAAAAATTTTCTTTGTAATATTTGTTTTTATAAATAATTTAAGATTTGAGAATATATTCAATAAAAATATTCACCCTATAAAAATATTCTTTTATATTGATTTGTTTGAAAAAAAATTTTCTTTGTAAATTGTATAAATAAAATTTGATATTGATATAAACATACATACCAATAAATGTTTGTTGTACAAGAGCAGCTGTTCCAGCTGATAATGAACTAGTTATTGTATCCCATTGTGATGAAGATATATATTTTGGTTGATTATTATTTAAAAAAGTTCGTGTTACTTCAAGTGTACCCATAAAAACTGGTTCAAATACAAGAGCCAATATGGCAACTGAATATCCACGATAAAATCCACGTCGAATTCCTTCATCAATTGAGATTTTTTTCATCATTTCTAATGTTGATTTAACAGGTCTTTCATCTGTTTGAAGACGAGTTTTAATAACAGCTAATGGATGAAAACATGTTCGCAGTACCAATGAACTTGCTGACAAAAGAGATAAAAATTTTGTTTTATCCAAATCATGCCAATATAATTCATGACTATTCTTTTCTCGTTCTCTTTAATAAATAACAAAATAAATGCTATTTATTATTTTGATTGTTAAAATAATCTTACCCAAAATCATTTAGTTCCGAATTAATAGAAACCATCTCTGTTTTATTCGATTCAGATAAAATGTTCTTTTACTTATCGAACTCAAATAACATATGAAAGAATCTACAAACACATAGGCCATTGAGTGCAAACAGATGTCACTTATTAACATGAATTTATTCATTGCTAGTTATTTATATGAGCGACACCACGACAGGCACACTCTTGCATCTACTCTCTCAATTAAACTTATTTATATATAGATTGTTGTCGGTTTAGATAACAAGATTTTTTTTTTATAAAAGAAAAAATTCAATAAAATGTTTAAGATTGATGAATAAGAATGTCCATAGAGATTAATTAGAGAATATCGATAGATAGTCAATGTAAAAACATCTATTCGACTAACATATCAACGAATTTCTCAATAAAATAGTCAATGATGATAGATCTGTGAATGATGAAAGAATTTTCGAACTCTAAATAGATTAGTCTTGTTAATATAGAATTTATTTTGAAAATCTTATTTAAATAATTTATTAAATAGATAAATCATATGAGTTTTTTTAATCATATATATAGGATGATCAAAAAGTTCTCGGAATGTCTACTTTTTCATTGAATAAATGATGTTTACAAAAAACTTATTTTTATCAAATGTTCGAAGTACTTTCTCTTGTTCGTTATACAGAGTTTCATTCGATCAATTCATTTTTGAAATATCTTTCGAAATTCATCTTATAGTATAGCAAGAATCTTCTTGGTTACAGCTTGTTTTAAAGACTTGGAATCAGGATAACTACATAATTGCTGTTTTAGATAGTCAAATAAGCAAAATTCGAATGGTGTCAAGTCAGATGAATA